AAGAAGTCAAACATTTCATCCAAAGCCATGCAGCGGTTAATACTAAATGACCTCCTCAGGCCAGCACTCAAAATACGGTGATTTTTCTCCCAGAGTGGCCTCTACTGCTCGTAGGAATGTGTGCTAATCCACTTGTTTGGGTCACTGTCCCCCTCCAGTGGGACCAGGAAACCATGCCTGATACATCTTTAAACAATCAGACCAGTGATGTCCTGCTAACCAATTCAGTCCCAACATTCGCTGTGCCAGGTGCAGAGGACTCAAAGACAAATGAGATCATGGGATAAGTGGCCTCAGGAAGCCTGGGCTCCAGACAGACCCGGGACACAAAGCAGCAGCTACATGAGGCCAGGTTGCATGTACACCAGGCTGTGCACAAACACATGGGACAGAGAAAACTCTAGCGGGACATGACACTCATTTGAGCTGGTAGGTGCAAGCCAGAGGGAGTGGGACAGGCATGCTAGACAAGTGCTGAGCAGGGTCACAGAGGAGGGAAATTAGATAAGACTGTGCTGGGAGGACACTGCCTTGTGGTGTGGCTGGAGAAGCTCCGTGGAAGGGGATGATTGCAACCTGCTGCCACGCAAAGGAGCCTGGACCTTAACAGAGTTATCAAAGTATTAGAAGTAGTTGCACAGAAGAGCGACAGGCTCAGATCTGTTTTAAAACAATATTTGAACATACATGGTGGAGGAGGAAATGTGGAGTGAGACTGCTGAGGGTCCAGACTAATAGGTGACCAGTTTCACTCATTTCTGCTGTTTGCAGTCTTACAGGCAAAACTGGAGAACTTATTCCACTGGGTGGATGCCACAGTGACCAGTGAAAGGCGTTAGAGGGAATCAAGATCTACTCCTAAGTCTCCAGCACTCCTGGGTACTCAAAATTTCTACATGGAATGGCTGGTGCCAAACTACACCATACAGAAAACAACGACTCAGGCGGAATTCCAGGTTTCCCAAACATGGGCAGCACAAAGGAACACGCCTAGCCTATCTGCCAGTATTGGTTAGTAGCAGGCATGGACTAACATAAGCACTATAGGGAAGAATGTTAAATTATGCAAAATATATTTGGGCTTGGGTAGGCCTCAGAGAAAGTATCTGGGGTTAAAAGCACAGTGTAGAACAAAACTTGCCAAAAAGATTCTCCAACCAAAAAGATCAGAAAAGATCTCTCCCCCTAAAAATGAAAGGAAAAAAGGCCAAAGAAAAGGCAGTTCATTTGGTAGTTCATAGTCAGAAACATCTCCAGAGGAAAATTTCATATTCATTTCTATCATGAAATTCACTATATATTCAATTAACTACATTATTCAATACCAGATTTTTTTTACAAGTTTTGAGGAGCTAATCATACTAAAATGTAAAATGCAGCAGGTAGGTCATTAGCAGCTAAAATCCATTTCCATTTATCCATTTACACTTAACCCCCATGTAACTTTCTAGAACCATATGATATGGTTTGCTTACTTTCAAAAGTACTAATCTACTATAAATATGCTAGACAGGTCAAATAATGTTAGCAGTAAGTTTTTTCCTCCACAATTTCTACTTGTGCTCCCAGTTAATTTAGCAATTTAGTACCAACAATTACGAAGGCCTTTACACCTTTCCAAAGTGATGATCAGACACCTAGATTTAGTTCACTCAAGCTAGGGCTGAACAAGAACATTTAGATCTAATGGGTCACTCAAGATGACTAGAACTTCCCAATCTCTCCATGTCATTTCCGTTTATCTTTTTTTTTTTTTTTAAGTGAAGTGAGTCATAGTGTATAGATCTTTCTCCTTTGCACAAAATACAGGGTTGTTTTTTTTTCCCTCTAAAGAGAATGGTGTTTAAATAAACATCATTGGGAATTCTTAATACTGGTCTTCTTGGAATATAACAACATAAGCTGTATATGCCAGTAAGGAACTTTAGTGCATTATTGCTATAACATGGTTTTAACCTCATCAGGCATTGGATCGTATTTCATCATGAAGGCAGCTATAAAAACAAATGTCAATTGGAAAGAGTGGTTCATTTTACAAAGCCTGCCTCTACCATGGAATAAATCTAGCCTTCAAGTCACAAGCTACTGTGGCGATCTCCTGTATCTGAAGCAATCAAATGATTCACATGGAAAAGTAGTGAACTGTGACAGAGAATTGAAGACTTTAGAGATGAGAAAAAGAGTGAAACACCTGACCCAGGCCCTCTTAAACTACAAATGGACGGCCACATATCATCTGTTCTTTTCATTCATTTAAGCCCTCTCTTCTCTCATCATAGCTTGCTAAAACCAATGCCTTTTCCCTATCTGAGCTCTCTCTTTTGGACAGACTAATTCAAACACAAGGCCCACTGAATACAGTATACTTCCACTTTCAAATCAGATGTCTGTAAGTCCATTTAAATGCTAGAAAATAATTTTTAAGGCCATCTACATATGCTATCAAAACAGACTTTTTATAGAACTAAATTGTGATTAGCATTATGCTATTACCATTAAAGATTTAAAATGTGATTGTGTTCATTTTATCAAATTGAGTTGGCAAAGAATCTTTCCCCGAAACATTTGTTTTCTAAGCTGCCACATTCATCAGCACTCAGCACTTCACCCTTTGTTCTTTCCTCATTTGTTTCCAAGTGTATGCATCTTTTTATTCTAATTAGAAAAGAAGTTAGAATGAGAAATGACTACACTGCCTAGCTTCTAAAGACTTAATCAGAAGTTATATTTTTCTAATTACAATGGACTAAACCATTTCAAAATGTGACTTTACATAAGACTGCCCTCATTATATGCTAAAAACATTAATTTTTTTCAACTTCCATTTTCTAACTAACAGTAGACACATTTCTTTGGTAAGCTGACATGTCTTGGAAAATTACCCATTTTGCATTCTCTCAAGGTCATTTTAGTTCTATGTTTTTAAACATGCCGCAATTGTTAAGATAAAGAGCCACTTTTCAACTTAAAAAGAGCTTCTGATTTCGATTATAGAAAAGGAATATATTCACAGGGTAGAGGTGAGAAAAGCCCACAGTGACAATATTTAAGATCAAAAGAAACCACCTCCAGGAATCTGGCAATCCATTGCGGGGCGGGGTCCAACATCTTAATTACTTGTGGGATTTAAATGTGGTGGAGAAATTTAAGTACAATGAGGGGAATTAATTGAAGATCAATAGTCTCACGCTGGTAGTATTCTTAACAGAGTTTTAACAATGCTTGAGTGTCAGGTCAGGCCACTCTGACCTAAAACTGTAAGAAATCAAATTAAATGAATTTGTTACGATGCAGTCAGTTTCAGTATAAAAGATTCCCCTGAATGCATCCATGAGTTATAGAGTGTTTCATAATTAACTCCAACACTTCCAGCAGTATTCATGGAAAGCCACTCTGGGCTCTACTGCATTCGATCTGATACAGATAATTTGGCTACATATTCTCAAAGTCACTGGTGGCATTCAATTAATTTACAGAGAATAGGCATGGAATACAAATTTTATATATTGATCCATCATACTTATGCAGATTACAGTTATAAATATTAGTCTATCAGAAGTTAATATTCATTACAGCCCAAGTATAAAGAATCCTGTCAAATACACTTGAAATCAAGGCTGCCAAAGAAAGGCCTTTGTTAGTCAAGCAACTAACTAAAGAACTGCCTAAAGCTTTTTTTCTGTTTTAAGCGAGGCTCAAAATAGATTTTAATACTACAGTTGATGGATCTCACAATCTAAATTTCGAGCCTACAAGCTGAAAACATAAGAAGCTGCCTTCTCTCTTTACACAAGTAACAAAAATCTATTTTGTACTCGGTTATTTAAAATACTGAGCAAGTGTGGTTTTGGTTAATCCTCACAACCCCCACAATGACATTTAATCAGAGTACATATTTTCTTTAGAAGATTTGCCTTCTTGAGAAAGAAGACCTCTTCGTGCTTTCAATCTGTTTTATAGATTTGTGAGAAACTACCTTCCCAACTCTTATGAAACACTATAACCCACAAGTAGAGGTCTCAGAAGATACGATCATCTCAGCCATGACCAAAGGATAAGATGTTCATTGAGGAAAGATACCATTTTAGAGGGTTGAAACGTTAGACTACCTTACTCCCTGCCTAAAAGAGTAATATTTTGGCCCCGGGTGGAGTGGGTCCTGCAAGCCTCGCTGGAAGTCTCCTGAGCCTGGCAATGTCACGGTCTGCTCCTCTCCCCCTCAGCTCACAGAGCGAATGTCTCTCTCTGGTAGCCCTTCCCTCAGTCCCTTCTCTCGGGCAGCAGGCTCTCCGTGCAGCCACACTCCACCACGGCCCGGAGTTGTTCTTGTCACACTTGTCACCATCTGAAGTGGATTTGCTTCTTCTGGGTTCCACAGCCTCATTCGACCCCAAGCTCCACCCGGGTCGGGTCTCGCCTGTCCTGCTCCACAAACACTATCCCCGGTGCAAAGCACGGAATAGGCAAGCCAGCTGATAGGCAGAAAATGAATGAACAAGAAGGGGGAAGGGGACTGTCATCCCGGGGACTCGCCGCACACAGAGACTAGAGGAAAGGAAATATGAAAGAGGGAGGGGAGCAGGCCTTTCCCCCAGGGAGACAAAGGAAGGGAGGCAGAGGTGGTCTCGTCCAGAAAAGGAAGTGGGGGGGATGTTTAGTCAACCCCAGGGGACAAAGGGTGGACAGGCAGGGGGCGGGGTCGGGGCGCGAGGGACTCCCGCCGCGCGTGTAGACGGTGGCCTCCGGAACCGAGAGGTCACCCGGGCCGGTGGGTGTGCGGTAGGTGGGGTATCGAAGGAGAATGCGAGGCCCGGGCGAGAAGCAGGCCCACCCGGGGGACAAAGAGAGACGGGGGACAGCTGTGCCGCTGACGGACAAAACCCCAGGCCGCAGGGCCGAGGTGGTGAGCGGGACCCCGGGGAGATCGGGACCCAGGGGTCTAGGAGAAGGTTCCCGCGGCCTAAGCGAAGGGCCTGCCGCGCTCCGGGGCGCTCCCGCACCTGGTAAATGGCCGCCCAGCTCCCGGCCTTGTCGATCTGCTCGAACTCCTTTTCCATCTCCATGACGGGCCAGGGCGGCTACTGCGCTCCACTCCTCGGCCAGCTACACCGCTTGCCGCTCTAGGCTGCCTCTCGCTCTGAGCCCTGAGGCCCACTCCAAGCTGTGACTCCAGCCGCTACCGCCGCCCTAGGAGCCGCTGTTACTTCATGTCAACCCGGCAGCCGGAAGTACGCACCCCGCCTGCCCCAGTCCCCGCCCCTGGGGCTGAAGAACCAATCGTCACTCGTGAATGTCGGCAAGAACTTCCGTGGGGCGGAGCCAGAGGCGGGGCTGGGGTAGTGGCCTCAGCCCCGCGAGACGTCTGGCTGGGCAAGCTGCCACCTCCCCTCCAGAGCTCCCCGCTTGGGCGTGGCGCGCGCCCGTTGCCTAGGCGACCCCTGGGAGCCCCGCCCACAGGGCGTGGGCTTGCAAGGCCGGGGTGGATTTCGGTTCGATCGTCTACCTCACTAGCTGAGTCAGAGGGAGCAACCTTGAGGTAGTCCTGCATCTTTCCTGCATCGCCAGGGCCCTGGCCGTCGTGCTCCCAGTTGGAGTAGGCGGGGAGAGCAGCAGGCTCCCTTTCTCGCATCTGGGCTCTGGCCAGATGTCTGCCCTTTTTTCATTAAACTTGGAGCTTCAGAATTCTCCAGGCTGCTGGGGAAACCCCACTGCTCTCTTAGGGTAACATCTCTGTCTAAAACGCAAGCTTTCCGTTTGGGCAGGAATGAATGGATGGGGTCCTGGGATGGTTTTCTGTATTTCTCGGTGTATCGGGGAAACCCTACTCGGACTGAACTCAGAGGAGCGCAAATTTTATGATGCCTTACAATCTCCTAGGAAGTGTGTTGAATAATGCAGGTTGCTAGATCTCCCTTCAAAGAATTCAGATAGCTGTGGCCTGAGAGCCAGGCCGAGGAATCTGTATTTTTACCAGCAACCCATCAGTTCTAAAACTTGTGGTCCTGGAAGCGCACATGAGAAGAATGAGGTTGCCTTCCTCGGGCTCCAGCTGAAACCATCTACCTCTGGGCCTGGCCCGTTACATGGAGTGAGGACCGTGTCATCTTTTGTTCCTTGCCAGGCCTGCCTGGAACACCAGCCTGATAGTACAGGTTGAATTCGGGCACATTCCTTGGGTAACAACCCTCCAAGATGTTATTCCCATCTTACATATGAAGAAACTGAGGCATAAGAAGGCAAAAATCACGTGTCCAGACTTAGCATGAGAAGTGGTATGGAAACCAGGATTCTAACCTGGTCTTCCCAGGAGTGCTTGCTTTGGAGCCAGGCTGCCTGAGTCCAAATTCCAGCTCTGCTATACACGAATGGTGCAGTTTTGGGTGAATTTATGTTCCTCTCTGTGCCTTTGAGGTGATAACCTCATAGAAGTGGTGTGGAGATTGCATGATTACATATAATGCTCCTTGGATAGTGAGTGACTCCATCAGTTCTAGCCCTCATTATTATATACCTTCAAACAGTAGTAAATGGAGAGGTCCGTGAATTTTGATTGAATAAATACAACTGGTTCAATCTTTGGAAACAGGTTTTCTTGGTGGGAAGTAATAAAAGTTGCTGGTTCTGGTGAAAATTTGGGAGCCCCACTCCAAAGTGGTCTAGTATAAATCTTAGAGCATTTAAGTGAGGGCTTTTCCTGCCCTCGTATTACATATTTGAGGACAATTTGTCTGGAGCCCACAGCACTAAAAGCTCCTTGGAGGGAAAGAAAACAGCTGGTTCATTCCTATCCCTCTGTGCTGAGCTAAGTAAGTAAATTCATCAAATAAAGCCAGTTGTGGTGGCACAGGCCTGCAACCAAGCTACTCAGGAGGCTGAGACAAGAGCATCACAAGTTGAAGGCCAGCCTGGGAAATTTAGAGAGACCCTGCCTCAAAATAAAATAATACAAAGGGGGCTGAGTATGTAGCTCAGTGCTCCCTGGATTCAATCCTTAGTACCACAAAACTCAGTCAATCAAATAGCCATCCTGAGCCCAAGTGGCCCTCAGACTTGCAGAGGTGCTGCTTGATGACTGGCTTGGCCTTTGGGTGGGGTCAGAGCTCTACACAGGGTAGTGGGAGAGCACAGGATTGGGGCAGGCTCAACCAGGCCCAAGTTTGGGCTCTTTCTTGGCTACTCTGGTTTCCTACGGCTACTATAACAAACTGGTGGCTTACGATAACAGAACTGCATTCCCTCACAGCTCTGGAGGGCCCATAGTCCCACATGTAGGGTATTGATGGTGCCATGCTCCCTCTGGATGTTCCAGTCTTCCTTGGCTTGTGGCCCCATCACTGCCGCTTCTTCCTTGTTTCACAATGCTTTCTGTCTCTATCTCGTCTGGTCTGTCACATCTCCCTCTGTCTCTCTTTTATAAGGACACCTGTCATTGGACAGAAGGCCCAGCCACATCCAGAATGATTTGGCAATTCTAGGTAATCCAGACCATCTTGAAATCTTTTAAGTTAATTACATGAGCAAAGGTCCTTTTCCCAAAAGACCGAATTTACTGACACTTGGTATTAGAACTTGGCTGTGTCTTTTTGTGGGTCCCCACTCACTACCATGTAGAGACTGAAACCTTTTCACAAATATTAGTCTTGGATGAAACCCCTAATTTCAGGTACCAGCTCATCTGTTCTTCCCATACTAGCAGCAAGAGAGAGCTCACATGCAAAACTTACTAAGAGTTTCCCATTCTACTTAGAATAAAACTGCCTTCCTAACGCTGGGTCCCAAACCCACATGACCAGGCTCCTACCTGCCTCCCCAGCCTTTCTTCTTCCTTGTAGTCCTTACTCTTCCCCTTTTTCCAACACACTCAGCTGTTTCCATCTCAGGACCTCTGCACCAGCTGGTCTTGCCTGTGTCACTCTTCTCGAAGACCTCACCCTGCAGGCCTGGGTCAAGTGTCACCTCAGGAGATAGGTCTGACTACATCTCCAAAACAGCCCCAGGCCTTCTCCTCCGCAGACCTTCTTTGTTTACATCACGGTATATGGGGAGGTTGCCTTAACTTGCTGGTTTATTTCCTCCCCCACCCATGTTCCTTTAGGGCAGAGACCTGAACTTCCTGTCTGAGTCCCAAGCACCTAACATTTGGTTGGGAGCAGGAACTCAAGGTGCTGGAGTCCTCTGTGACTCTGAGGCTGGGCTTTCTCTGCAGAGCTCTGCTGGCTCCCTGCCAAGGCCAGGCCAGAACCAGCCACACCCTAGGGCCCCCAGTGTACTGATGGTGGTGACGGGGAATCTTAGAGTGATGACTGGCTAGGGAATAAACAAGTGATCGTGTGTCATGACTGTGAGGCCTTTTCCCGGCAGGCGTGCCTGGGGGACCGGCCCACGAGGCTCCTCTGGCCTTTCCTTCACAGATTTAGCTAATGGAGGAGATCCACACTTCGAATCAATGACCCATTAAACTTTTCAAAGTGTACCACCATTTGTGAGTGCAGCATGGCTGTTTACCAAGTCTCTGAGGGGTCGTTGACTCCTGAGAGCGCTGTCAGCAAGCGACTTGGTGAAGTTGGTCCTGGTCCTTTTCCTGGGTTCAGAACTTGGGACCCCAATGAGCCCACACTGGCATCCAAATGAAATGTGACTTTAGGGCCGGGGATTTAGCTCAGTGGTTCTGCCTCCTGCCTTGCAAGCAGAAGGACCCGAGTTGGATCCCAGGTACCAAAAAAATATGACTTCCTCCGAGAGGCCCCCACCGACCCCTCCTAATAAGCAGTGCCCATCACCTTGTCCCTGTCCCTCTTCGCACTTGCCGGGCATTTGATGACATTTTCTCCTTAGTGTTACTGTGCAGTACTGTGTTATATATTTGTTTTATGTGTTTGTCGCCTGTCGTTGCCACTAATCACAAATTTAAAAACAGACAAGTCGATTTGGTTCCACGCTGGCTTTCTTGAGCAGCAAGAAGCACCCACCAGTCCTGGGAAAGTTCTGGAAGTCGAGGTGGCAGGGCTCCTTTGCACCTTACAGACCCAAAGCTCATGGGTGCTGAGGGTCCTGTAGCTCCCCCATTTCACAGATGAGAATAGAGTGCTCAGAGAAGGCAAAGAGTAGGGAGCAAGGTATCACAGCAGGTCAGAGCTTCTAAATCCTGTCTCTGCTCCTCACAGCCTTCAGGGCTGGGGACATTGCTTAACCTCCTGGTATCAGCCTAGATGCTTCCCTGTGAGAAAAACCCAACTGAAAGTGGCTTTTGCAAAATGGGAAATTTACTGACTTGTGAAAATGGGAAGTCCAGAGATGGCTTGCTTCAGGTACAGTTTGATCCAGGAGCTTGGACCCTGTCAGCATCACTCTGCCTCTCCTATTCCCTTATCTGCTTCCCCTGTGCTTGCTTCACCTCAGGCAGGCCCTCCTCCCTGATAACCCAGATGGCCTCCCAGCCCCAGGCTCACAGCTTGTCAGCTCAGCAACCTCTTTTTCCCCCCTGGGGGTCCCAGCATGAGGCCTGGCCTTGAATCTCTTTGGCCCAATGGAGGCACACACGCCACCTCTAAGCCCATCTCTCTGTGCAAGGGCAACTTGGGAAAGGAAGAAACCGAGGCTCAGGGAGGCATGAACATGGGCATCTGGTTTCAGGATCTGTGTTCTCAGCAGGACACTGTAAAGTCTCTCCAAGAATGTCCACGAGCTCTAAAAACAGTCACAGTGATAACGAGGGTGATCCTGATATGGATAATGTTATTACTTAACAACACTGTGGCCCCCATTCAACTATACTCAGAAAGGTTATACAACTTGCTCATAGTCAGTCACACAGGTAAGAAATGGTAGAGCCAGGACGAGAACTCACTTCAGCTCACTGTGCTGCTTCTAGTTCTGAAGTTCTGTTAATAAGGAGTGCTGCAGCTCTCGCTGGGCTCTTCCCCGTTCTTACAAAGACTCCCTCACCTCTCCACTCCCAGAACACATTTCAGACTTGATTCTGCGTGATTGGAAAGAAACACATAAGTGTATTCCCAAACAAGCTGTCTTTTAAGAGCAACTTTCCTGGTGGCAAGAGGAAGAGGCATGGCGGGGAGCTGGAGGAATCACATGTTCTGAGAACAAAGGGTCAGAGGCATTGGAGGGTGGTCATCGAAGAAGGAAGCTGGGCCCCAGGATGGAAACCAGACCTGGCCCTGGGCTTCCAGCAGCGGAGGGCTCTGGGGAGGGTTCCCAGAGGCCACCACCACTTTCCCACTGGG